CTCTCACCTCTAAAATGTTAAAGCTGGGTCTTCACTTTCATAAGATGTGTTCAAGTCTCTCCATGACCTCAACATGTTAGTGACAAACACTGTTAGAAATAAAGGTTCAAACACATAACATCTATTTATTTATCTACACTGTTTACTTTTAGCTAAACCAAAGATTCCTGAAGCCCAGAAGGTTAGCTGATTGTCCGTGTACACACGTCTTTGAGATGCCGGTGGAGAAACGGCAGCTCCGACTTCACCGATGTCAAGTCCTATTTGACTGGTCTGGAATCTGTCGGGTCACCGGAGGCGGCTGTTGGGTCTCAGGACAAATGGAAAGTGTAAGAATCTTTCAAGCTTCTCCTTCCAGTTAGATCCCAGTATATCTGATAACTGGGGACACTAACTGTAAAAATCGAAAAAACAATAAACATTTGTGGTGCAATGTCTGTCACTGCTGCTGTGACCCGTCCTGCTCCACCCAGAGGCTACTCCACCTCTGCTACTGTGACCCGTCCTGCTCCACCCAGAGGCTACTCCACCTCTGCTGCCGTGACCCGGCCTGCTCCACCCAAAGGCTACTCCACTTCTGCTGCTGTGACCCGTCCTGCTTCACCCAGAGGCTACTCCACCTCTGCTGCCGTGACCCGTCCTGCTCCACCCAGAGGCTACTCCACCTCTGCTGCTGTGACCTGAAGGGCTGTTGCTGATTATTACTATTGTTAGCTTTTTTGAATGATCCATTTTATTTTTTGTTTTCGCTTCTACTGGACACCTGAATTTCTTCTACGGGGATCCATAAAGTTTCTATCTATCTTTCTATCTATCTATTGTAGCTACTGCAACTGCTACTACAGCTTCTACTATTAATACTACTACTACTAAATCACCTTTCTCTTGCCAGAAAAAAACCCAGATCTTACAATTAATTCTCAGCAGTATCCAACCAAGATAATGACCATAACATTCATTTATTTACTTATTTATGTATTTGATCGGGCGAATGCACATTAATGAACATCAGTATAAACAAAAGTAAATATGCCGGATCATAGCTACCAAGCTAGTTTTCATCCGCAGTCTCAAGGCAGGAAAATACACAGGAAATGACAACACATACAATACAACATAACACATACAATACAACATAACACAATACAATACAAAACAATACAAGCAGCACTAACTGACTTTATTTTTTGTATTCATTACAAAAATGCTATCCATATCCATGCAGTGCATTGGGATATACGTCCTTTTGAAGAAAAAGTAGCACAGATTTGTGCTGGCGTGACATTATATTTTAGATCGAGTTTTGATGAAACAAGGAAGAGAATGTGTTTCGGGTCACAGATCGTGACCAATCAGAGCGGACCACTAGCCCCCACTTTCGTGAGAAATCTACAGGTCCGTTAGCATAGACGGCTGAGTTAGCACAACAAGCCGAGGAGCTAACCTGAAACTTGTGTGTCTTCGTCACCGGTTACTGCTTACACAGCGAAACATCCATCCAAAAGAAAGTCCCGTTCCTCCGCGCTTCCCGGTTCTATCGTTCTATGGTCACGCCATCCACGTGCAAATCCATATTCATGTATTATCCATATTGGGAGACGCTAGCTCCGTCCCAACAGTGGGTGTGTGTGGGGGGTGATAGCTTCGTGGGTGCGGGGAGGGGAGCAGAAAGAGAGAGGCCAGAGAGTCCGCGGCTTCAAAATCCCAAAGTCAGTTAGTGCAGCTTTAAAAGTGATGAGGGAGCACTATTACCACGACAACGGCTGTATACAGTACGTCTCTATGTAACTAAGGGAATGTACATAATGGAGGCCTCAGAGCGATGGCGTCCTCCCTGCTGGTAATTGTTCTCACGTACACCAAAGTCGAGGTCCGTGCTCCAGCCGCTGGGGAAACATCCCAATTATCAGCATGATGCATGTGTGTCCTGCCTGTCCTCTGCTCTCAGACCCAGACCTGTGGCCCAGCAGCAGACCAAGCTATAGGCTCTAGACTCAGCCAGACTCTATATGACTCTACAGGAGCTGCTTAAAGATGGAAGAGCGAATGTTCTGATCACAGCATTGGAAAAAAATGCACTGTTTGGTTCCTTGTATTATTGGTCACCCTTTTACTGCAATTGAATATATTCTGTTTCTCTCTCTCTCTTGTCTTTCTGGTCTGTCTTGTCTCTTTCTCTGGTCTGTTTTTTCTCTCTCTTGTCTTTCTCTCTGGTGTTTCTTTAATCTCTCACTGGTCTCTCTCTCTGATCTCTCTCTTTTTGTCTCTCACTTTTGTCTCTCACTCAGAACAAACAAACAAACAAACTAAATCTGGTCGCTCTCTTCTCTGGTCTCTCTCTGGTGTCTCTCTCGGGTCTCTCTCTGGTGTCTCTCTCTGGTCCCTCTCAGGTGTTTCTCTTTCGTCTCTCACTCTGGTCTCTCTGGTCTCTCTTGTCCTTCTCTCTCTGATTTCTCTCACTCACGTCTCTCTCTTGTCTGTCTGTCTTTCTGGACTCTCTCACGCTTGTCTGGGCTGGTCTCATAACAAAATCACTAATACCACTGCATTTCTTCTGTTTGAACTGTTTTGTTCTTGCTGTTGGCGAATCAACAGTTTTGCAGAGTCCTCCGAGATAAACTACTGTTGTGATTTAGATCCATAACACACACAGAGATACTTTTGCAGATGTGGTGTTACGGCAAATGGCAAACAAAACCAAATCTTCAATCTACTTCAAAGCAAAACAATAGAGACCTATCACTTTACACTGAGGGAGAAGGCTTTGCTCTCGAGTGCAGTCCTTCTCATACCGCCGCAGAATCGTAGAAAATAATAACAAACGGTACAGAATTCCTCTCCCGTGCTTTCGCCGCCTCCTTCCCTGCCGTCTGTCAGCGATGGGGAGGCCTCGGCACAACTATTATGTTAGATATTGCACCTCAGATCACAGCCAAGACGTGACTTTTTTCCTTCTGTGTGAAGCTGGAGGCTTGAAAGCAGCAGCCTCTTATGTCGGATCGCGTTCTCTTCCGGGACGCAGTAATGTTTACATCAAAGCCGGCTACTTCCAACGCCCTGAGCTGCGAGCCGCCATGAGGGAGCCGAGGCTGTGATCGCCCCCGTCACAAGGGTTTAGGCAGGAGTCCAGTCTATGCCCCAGATAGAAGCGTTTTTAACTCTCTTTAAGTGAAAGATAATGGTTGTGCAATGCTTTCACCGCTGTTTCTGTCACTATTGCAGAGTTTTTCAAAGGAATTGGAGATTTTTGACTCAGCGCAAAGAGGGGCCCATGTTCAGATGACAGATTGTCCACGTTTAAAGCTAGGAGACCAAACTTTTAATTGGATTCAATCTATTTTTGTATAGGCCTAAGTCTCAATACATTAATAACAATAGGAGCCATAGGGTCCATAGGGAGCAGGATCACCAATGTCCACACTGTCCATAAATGTTCTTAGACCTTCCTGCCTCGGCAATAAAAATCCATCTCAAACAAGCCTGGTCCTATCACTAGTTTTTTTTCATATTTTTCAGATGAAAAAGTATGAAAAACGTAATATTTCCCCTGAAACACAGTCTCCATTTAAACTAGAGGCCAAATAAAAAATTGTACAGTCTCCGTATAGAAATATATTAAAGCTGCACTAACTCAGACTAAGTCTAAAAATCTGTTTAGGTCTAATTTTCAGAATAGAGTCATAGAGTCATTTGTCGACTTTCTTTGTGCAAACGTTCTGCAATAAAATGCAATCAATTCAATCTTTTTCTTTCTTTTTTGTGTGCTTCCTCTCCATCCGAGCCTCGTGCACCTGGCAACCCGTCAAAGGCCTGAACTAAAATCAAGGCCGTAATCACAACTGCATCTGTCTGTGGTTCGACCCATTTTCTCCTCTTTGTTGCTTTCGTCCGGTTGAAAGAGAAAGCAAAGCGTTCAGGAAGATCAAGGGGAATGGTTGAGAAACAAAGCCAAAATGAAAGGAGTAAATACGTCCGCAGCGACTCCATGAACCATTAAAGTTGAAGCAGATTTCAGTTTCACATGAAGATTTGCCCCATTTGCCGATGCTGGGTTCTCAAATAAACATGAGCATGACTTTTCCACGGAGGCAGTCAGGTTTGATGGAGTTTTGTACCTCTTTATGTATGAGAGATGAATTTACTTCTACCCAGCGACAAAGGTACAGGACTGGATCAGACTCTGCAATTTTTACCAAGTCCTTTCAAACCCACTGGCTTTATAGCAGTGTGGCCAGTTTATGTATCTCTATGACAGAATACTATGACTAGTTTAGTTAGTATTCTTTATTTACATAGGGCCTTTTGCAGACCAGAGTCACATGCCAGAACTACAGTATTGTACATGTTTTTAGTCATCAGCAGTTATCAACTCCTGGTGTGATTTAGGACTATACAAAAATACATTGGTGGATCATCAATACTATTGGTCCTCCCAATAGTCAATAATTCTGAGAGTTTTGTTCATAAAGTGGAGAGGGTGGTTCTTTCCTAAAACTTGCCAATACATTCAACATTATGACTTACACACACAAAAATGATAGTATAGATTAAATCCAGAAAGAAAACCAGGATCGCTTTGTTTGTGTATGTGTGTTTTGAAGTGTATATGTGACAAAAACAAGCTAAATGACTAAATAAACTTGACTTGAAAAGCTGCGGTTGTTAAATGAACCAGCAGCCGTCTCTTTCATATACTGTATAAACATAAATACTTGGCCTCGAGACATTTCCATTTCATTTGCGCAAAAAACTAACATCCACTTCCAACTGTAGAGACCAAAGACCTCCACCCTTCGCCCACGCACACAGGAGCTGACGAAACCCTCTCCGCTTGCATCCAGCCGAGCGTGACCTGATTTATTCAACAACTTTGCATTCCTCCCAAAGAATTTTTCAAACCTGCGAGTCATATATTCCACGCATACATTCATGGCCCATTCAATTTCTTTTGCCGACCACTTCTATTTCTCGGATTTCAAAAGGACAAACGTTTCCTGGAGTCACTCAATCATCGCATTGGTATTCGGCTCTGGTTCTCGGCTCTGGTTCTCGGCTCTGGTTCTTGGCCCGGAGCCTGGTGGCACTATCTCCTCCCAGCCGCCTCGGTAATCTGACACACGGCACACGCAGAGAGGGTAGAGACGGGGTATAAATTTGGTGGACTACAAATAAGGAGTGAAAAAAGTACAAACGAAAGGGCTGTGTGAGGGAGAGAGATGATGAGATAGAGGATGGAGTGGCGGCTGGGATCAGAACACGTGTTATAAGAAGATTTTTCTTTAGGATTTGCTGAGATCAGTGATGGGAATAACGGCGTTACTAGTAACGGCGTTACTGTTTTCAGTAACGAGTAATCTAACTAATTACTTTGACAGTAACTATAACGCCGTTATAATTTCCGACATCCCGTTACTGCGCGTTACTCAAGACGCACAATGAACGTGTTGTCATGAGAGAAGGGAGGATGAGAAAACCTCTCAGCAATTATTGGTTGATGTAAATCATATTTCCTTTACAATCCACATGTCTACAGTTGAGAGGATGGCTCATAAATTGTGTTTTTGAAACAAATATGGGTCTTAATCGCGCTCATCCACGGCTTGTATCACCGTGAGGTCAGCCACAGAGGAGTGCATGTGAGCGCAGAAGTCGACTGCATACAATTCCATCGATAAGCTCCTTGCTCTTCCTGGTTTATCTGCTAAGGACAGCAACAGGTTTGGCTAACATACATATAACACATTTTTACATAATGTAAAATGCACATAGGGTAATTTTTCAATTACTATAGGAATGATAAGAAAGAGAGGTGAAGTGTAAGACGGTTGATTTTAGAAATTGGATGCACTCGGCTGCCGCTAGCAAAACACAGGAGTTTATGGAGGACACACGCGTTTTGTTTTACTTTTTAAAACTCATTGGACTCATTTCCAAATGGAGGATTACGTATCTACGCTCAAACTATTATCTGGACTTAAACATGGAACTGGTCGAACCGAAGTGGCTTGTGCAGGTCATTTATAAGGTAAGACCCATAACTCACAGTTTTGTATGAACAAACAATGCGGGCATGAAACATATTTTGCTGTAGCCAAACAAACTGTCCACTTGATTTATATGATATATATGTTCATCTGATTGGGCTGAAGTCAGTGCTTCACCGGTGTTTCCACATTTACAGTGGCGGGCTTTACAGCACAGAGAGAGATGAAGAGTGAACAGGACTTCAGCAGCAAAACAGCCTTTTCTAGATGGAAATATTGGCAATATTAAAGGTAAAAATGCGCACGTCGGGTGCACATTATGTTCCAGAACAAAACGAAAAAGTAACGCAATAGTTACTTTTACTGGTAACTAGTTACTTTTATAGTGGAGTAACTCCGTTAGTAACTCAGTTACTTTTTGGGAGAAGTAACTAGTAACTATAACTAATTACTTTTTCAAAGTAACATGCCCAACACTGGCTGAGATGGAGAAACAACTGTAGCTTTTCTTATGCTACGATGAAAAATCATGATAATTCATTGGTTTTGAATCCACTCAAAGATGTTTCACATGTCATTATTCATTCACTCCATAAACTACTAGTGTAGCCACAGCTGCCCTGGGGTACACTGACAGAAGCAAGGCAACCAGTCTGTGCATCACCCCCTCCCTCCACCACACACACATGAGTCTCATTCTAATGTGAGGGAAGTGTCTTGCCTAAGGACACAACCACAGTTGGGCACTGCTGCCGCCGCCCCACTGTGGCACCTGGTGTTCCCAGAGATCTCCCATCACAGTACTAACAGGCCCTTGCCCTGCTTCGTTTCAGAAATCCGACGGGATCTGGATTGCACATGCAGGTGTAGCCACAGAGTAGTGTAGTATCTTGTGCATTTTACAATTATAAAAACATAACTGAAACAGATATATTAGGAATTCTAGTGGTTAAAAGAGCCCAAAACAAAAGTAACAAGAAGCAAAAAACCGAAACTTTTACCAATCAAAATGATGCTATCCATCCATCCATTTTCTACCCCTTAATCCATTTCCGGGTCGAGGGGGGGGGGGGTCCAGAGATGCCACCCAGAATACATAGCACCAGCCCATCTCTGATCCCTCAAAATGATGCTATGTCTAATCAAATTCAGGTCTTCTCTATTATCCTTGACATGTCAATCTATAATTTTATGAAATTGTGTGTAACTTTCGTCCAGGGCTCTCTTGAAAAAAAAGTAATTTCCTGGGACTTTCACGGTTAAATTTAAAAAGAAAAAAAAACAACTCAAACAAGCAAACATCAGGCTAAACGCAACTCAAGGCATTATCGTTGATGAGAAAACAATATCATAACAAAACCTACACAAAGCAGGTCTTCTTCCATTGGTCACCACCTTTATAATTCAGAATTACAAAGCAAACCCATATCTGAGCCTCCAGCTTTTCCACCGGAGCAGGATTCCTTTGCACTTTTTCACATAGACTACTCTACATTTCTACATGCCCCACCACCCAACATGACACATTTAATCCAGACCGACCATATATAACCATCATTATCAGACTCTGTTGGTGGTTGGAGGAGAGGGAATAAAGAGAGAGCTATCTACTTGTAATACTTAGAGATGCCGACAGGATGAAGGAAAGCTGCAAGATAAGTGGAGGGCGGGCTCGCATGGGGCTGGAACTGCTGACAGCGGCTAGGGGTGAAAGCCAGATAAGTGGACTAACCGAGTGAACTTGGGAGTGACAGCAGAGGAGCGATGGAATAGGAAAGATAGCCTTGAGTGGGCCCGATAGAAGAAGGGGTGAGGAAAGAAGGAGGTAGGAGGGATGCGAAAGAAAATGCTGAAGGGGTAGAGGCATAGACGGATGAACGCGCAAGCTGATATGGAAATGCTAGCAGGAGGCAGCAGACTTGAAACAGAAAAGATTTTGACAATGTATGACAGCCACGGAGCGGATCCCGGGAGCAAACGGGGACCGGAGAAAGCTATGCGCCGCTAACAATGGGCTTGAAGAAGAAAAATGATGAAAACAAACCGGGGACCAGTCAATACCTTGCAAGGTGTTCAAAAGCGGCAAAGGATTTCTCACCAGTTTTTCATGTTTAGCATTGTTCTGTGGAAGAAAGGTTCAGGGAATGCCTTTGTGTCGTGTCTAAGACTATGACATAATTTGTTTTCGGAGGTTCAATAACAGGCAGGAAGAGAAACGCAGGTACTTTTCTACCCAACAGAACTATGAATATCTGCAAGCACTAGAAACAGACACCCAAACAAGTCCTCGAATGGAGTGAGTCATATGCCATCCATTTGCATGGTGATTCGTGATGATAACAATAGCCTGGAAATGACACAACGGATTATACACTGGAAGAAATGCCTAAGAAGTGTTGCTAAATCTGTAAAATACGATTGACAACATGACAATTTGGTGAATCTATTTTACAGACTACTAAATCATGGGAAACGGGAAGTCTTTTCTTCAATCTATGGCCTTTAACTGCCAAATATTTGCAACCAACCAACAAAAGAACAAGCAACTGTTGAAAAAATGTGCTAAACCTCTCAGACTCTGCTGCAGGGGTGTCCAAACTTTTTAGTAAGAGGGCCATATTAGTTTATCAGACTTGACCTGGGACTGAAAACCTGGATTGGGACTGAAAACCTGGATTCAAAAACTGGATTTGAGCTGGATTGACTGGAGTCTGTAATTTAAAAGGATAAAACCAGCAAAGGGTAGCAGAATTTCTATTGCAACAACACATCATCAATAGGGTTAAACTAACCTGTCTCACGATGGTCTAATCCCAGCTCATATTCCAGCAAAGGGTAAAACCAGCCCTTACCTTCTTTGCAGTACTTCCCCTTGAAGCGAGTGTGGGTGCAGTCGCATTGAACCTCCCCAAACTGGATGGAGCAAAACCCTCCATTAAAGCATGGGTTTTGTTTGGTGCAAAGATATTCCAGGTCGCTCTGGATTCCATTACTGTTGAGCAAAGTAGGCGGTATCTCCCCGACTTTCAGGTTGGATATGAGGCCAAGGAACGGTGGCTCGTACTTCACCGTACTGGAGGTGAGGGCGGAGAGGCGTACGTCCGGTGGGATCCCACCTACGAACAGATCGCTGACCACCGCCATCTCCTTCCTCTTGGACTTCACCTCCGCCACTTTGGTCTCTCCGTCCACCATCAGAAGAGTCTCCCTGAAGTTCCGGGTGAGCAGAACCATGTGCCAGCGGTCGTCGTTGATGCGGGTTTCCATGTGCAGAGTGGCGGGCTCGGCACAGTGGATGGCGAAGCGGAGTTGGAGGCGCCCGTTAGCGATTAGCAACTCCAGGAAGTCGCAGTTGCCTCCGTCGTCAAGGTAGAGGACCAGGGCTTTGCTAACGTTGGTTTTGACGCTAAAACTCAACTCCCCGACCGATCCGGCTTCCCAGCGGCCGTAGCGAGCCCACTGGCCGGGAGCTCCACCGAATTCTAACATCTTTACGGTGTTGAGGAATGTGCACACGATAAGGATCCAAAACGGCTCCAATCTTAGCCTCGTCATAGTTGTTTTTTATTTGTGACTAAGTTCCAGCGAACTCGATACAACTGAGGCAAAGACACGCAATGGTAGGTTTCAGATGTACTCCACGCAAAACTGGTCAAATGTATGAGTTTATTCCTCTATGAGAGTGGCTGTGTTTCTTATCCAGACACTCTCCTTTGTCTCTCCATCAGTCGGGAGGACAAAAGCAATTTGGGGTCTACCTTAAAAAAAGCTCCGATCCGGTTTGTGTTGTAATAATCCAGGGAAGTTGCACAGACGCCGCAGACGTGGACGGAAAGATAAATAAGTGAAGCAAACCAGTGTCAGAAAGCACTACTGTTTGCGAAAGGATAAAATGCGATCATTGTTTTCGACACTTCTCCTTCACAGACCATTGGGTTTTATGACGGCGTGGATTCCATGGTTTCGCAGCCAGGTGGGAATCTGCGAGAGAAAGACAAGACAGAAAACACAATGTTAAAAAATGCAGTAAAGATAATCAAATGTTTGGCATGTGATAGAATTGTTCACATTTTGGGATTTTGTTTTTGCTCCTTAAAGCTGCCATCCATTTTTTTTTCCATCCATTTTCTACCCTTTTAATCCATTTCTGGGTCAGGGGGGTGGCAGTCAGAGATGCCACCCAAGTCTCATAGCACCAGCCCCTCACTGACCCTCTGCAGGTGGTGAGTCCACAGGAGGACAGCTGCTCTCTGAGTGTGAGCATAGCCTTGATCTTTCAGTGGGGGCTTTGGGCAAAGTGGGGTTAAGTGTCTTGCCCAAGGACACAACGACAGCAGTCATCAATGGGAGTTGGTGGAGAAGGTGCAGAGGTGAAATGAACCCACGACCTTCTGGCCTTAAGGCCAATGCTCTACCAACTGAGCTACTGTCGCCCCCTTAAAGCTGCGTTTACATAAAATAAATCAGATTGATATTGCGTTTTTTATTTTTATTCTGCCATTTGCCGTAAAACCACATTGGAATACATAGAGTATACAAATGTCCCCAGAATGCACAATGTATCAATTCTAATTCAATGTATTTTTCTGTAATCCAGGGTTACAACAACAACATCTTGAAGCGCTTCACAGAATGTCATATCGTTACAAAAGTACATTTACTTCTGTATTTCCACTTACAATGTGAAACTAATAAATCACAGACTCTGCACTTACAAAATAACATACAATTGTTAGTTATAATGTTGATAGTTGGCTTACAGAAGTAGAAAATTATAATATCTAGAAAACTATAGGCCATAATCGTCAATCGTCAATTTGAGTTCAGGTCACTGTGCGTGTAATGAGTCTATGTCATGAATTAGTTTTACATTTTAAGTTAAATTGCAGAAATACATGTCATACACGTACAATAAACGTGATTCAAAAACAGAATATACATCATTCTGCTCCCTCTTTAACCTCTTTTTTTGTGTAAAACCTCAAAAGCAGTGGTGTCAAACTACTTCCAGGTTTTCATTCCAACCAAGCAGGAGCACACCAGACCCCACCCATGTACCCAAGTCTTCAGTCTCCTAAAGTGTTTACATGTAAAAACATTGGGAAATATATAACCCTAACCCATGCATTTGAAGTTAAGCATAATAGAAAGGAAAGTTGTGGATTGGTTTGAAGAAGAAATGGAAAAGCCCACAGTTTACCAACACTGGAACTAAGACCATTGAATAATAAACAAATAAAAAATAAATTGTATTTTGTTTTTACTTTTTTTAAACTATACTATGAAACATCACTCAACCACAGCCTGTTATTGCAGTCTCACCAATACCAAAAAGTCAACTTCAAAGAATGGTTGTAGATACTATAGACTGAATATTAGCAGACCTTGTGACACCTATGTCCTCCGTTGAAATGTATGTGTGATCGACATGTACCTTTTCAAAATGGCCGCGAGTAGCCCCTCCCAAAGGAAAATGATGAAAATAATGTCTGAACTTAGCTGATCCTAAACAGAACTTGGACTTTAGGACCATCCTGAAAAGAAGTTTAAAAGGAAAGAAGGCGCCAAAGGAATTCATTGGATAATTCTGTTTCTGGGTACACCGCCACCGACAAGGAGCCAGATTATAAACATGTCATTGAACATGCTCATGGACATTTTTGAGCCGGGACCTGCCAACCACTGGTAAATAAACTGGAAGCGCTCGCATATCAACCCATCGGTAGGTCCACAAATAAGAATAGTGACAAACTGTGTAGAGAAAAAGACGATAAAACGATACCCCAGACTGTGTTATTACCGCAATCACTTCTGAAAAAGCCATCACCCGTGTGTTCTCTTCTGATTCATGCACACGCACACACACTCTCTGGACATGTGCTCGCAAAGCCCAATGTCATTAAATTAAATGGGATTCCAAGTGGAGTCAATGGCTGCGTGAGGAGCCGGTCGTGACCCTGGGGCCTGGCCTAATCCTTCCGCCATTATTTCTTGAGTGAGATTTAATTTGCAGAAAGCCTACAATTAAAGATAGGTTCTGCCCTTCGCTAATGCGTTCGACAAAGATGCGAAGAGAGGATATTCAAGCGCACAAAAGATGGGAAAATGCATTGGCTTGGCTTTAGATGGACAAAGCACACAGTTCAAATCCTTTACAGATGGAGTTGGTGAAATGAATTAGCCTGTTTCTTTGCATTGGATGATGGACGTGGACAAAAAAACATGGTCTCGGTAATTGGAAAGAAAGTGGGTAAGATCAATTTCTTTCTTTCATTAACAATCCTATTGAATATTCAACTTTCCCCAAATCAATGTAGCTCACATTTAGCCGTGCTGACAATGTTGGCAGGCTTTCAACGTCGCTCCCAGAAGCTAGAAATCTCCCACTATACATACTAAGCAATACATTAGGAGCATCAAAATAACACTGCACTGCAAAACGGGATGAAAAATAAGTGAAAAATGTCGCAAATTAGGCAAATGTATAATAATTTAAGCACAGTCTGACAAGATCTGCAGATGGGACTGAGTGTGTGTTACTTTGTCTGAAGACATGCCCTTGGTCTTTCAGCGGGGGCTTCAGGCAATGTTGGGTTAAGTGTCTTGCGCAGGGACACAACGACAGCAGACATCAGTGGGAGTAGATGATATGGGTCGTGGTGGACTCGAACCCACGACCATTAGGTTCAAAGACCAGTGCTACCAACTGAGCTTCCGTCGCCCCCCAAAATTTGCCTGTACAAAATAAAGATCCTCTTTTGCACCTTTTTAATATCACTTCTGCAGTCTCACTTGAAATGAGAAAATAAAGCAACAGTCCCATCGGTGAATCTTGTTATAAAGCAGAACGTGACTATTACTACATGAAACTATTTACAAATGATTTTGTATTATTTAATTAAGAATAAAGATAAGATACACTTAATTCATCTCACAATGGAGAAATTTACAATTACAATTCTTTTTTTTTGCATTGCCCTAAATCACAGCAATAGTTGAAAGGACTTCACAAAGCTGTCAATTCACCAACACAGATCAGAGAATCAAACAGTTGAAACACAGGAAATGCCATGATAAAAACACATAGATCCATTGGTTCATTAAGGGGCAGAGACCAATGTCCAAAAATGTCAAAAAAGTCCATAAATGGGCGTTGAATGACCAGTTTATTAGGCCCGAGCCCCGAACGGGGTAAGGGCCTATTGCTTTCACAATGGTGAAAACAAATGGTGGCGGTGCGTGACGGACGCGTCAGCGCCCGTCACTCACCAAAATGTGACAGTTGCGTGCGTAAACTCAAAAGCTTTAAAATGATGTATCACATGCCATTGAAACCTATATTGTTTTTGCTCGAGACGTTAAAAAAAAAATTCCTTTTTTAGGCCCGAGCCCCGAACGGGGTAAGGGCCTATTGCTTTCACAATGGTGAAAACAAATGGTGGCGGTGCGTGACGGACGCGTCAGCGCCCGTCACTCACCAAAATGTGACGGTTGCGTGCGTAAACTCAAACGCTTTAAAATGATGTATCACGTGCCATTGAAACCTATATTGTTTTTGCTCGAGACGTTAAAAAAAAATTCCTTTTTTATTTATTTCTTTCTTTCTTTTTTCTTCTGCACTTTGAGCCTTAATTTGACCCCCTGAACATGCATGAAAAGTTGTTAATTTTGGCCCAAAAATCAGACCTGGCGAAAAATTTGATATTTTGGTGTTTATTTTTATGGGACTCAAAAAATGCCAGAACAGCGCCACCTACAACAGCCAAAATAATACCCCTATGGGACTTTTTGGAGGTCAAGTTTGTCGTAGAAACATGAGATTTGGTACACATGTTCCTTGAGTCAAGACATGAAAAAAATATTATTATGGCTCCGCCCTCTGACAAACAGGAAGCCCATAAATTTCACTGCAAAATGGAAAAATGAACAGCAAAAGTTTTCATACATGTCGGTTGGAAAGCGACTCCTCCTCGGCCGTTTCACCGATTCGCCTCAAAATCGCTCCACATCATCTCAACACATGTACCTTCAAAATGACCTCAGGGATTTTTGATCAGTGAAACATTGTTTGAGCAGCGGAGCGGCAAAATGTGACCTTTTTTTGGCCGTTTTTGACAACATTAAATTTGCTCCCGTTTGCACAAACAAAGTCTGATTTGCACAAAACTTTAATACATTGTTCAACTTTAGGGTCTAGGTCATTTGAAAGTTAAATGATTCACATTGACACATTAGCGCCCCCTACAGACTATTTCAAAGTTTTAGATGGGCATTTTCAAATTTAGTTTTTTCAAAATGTTTGAAATTTTGCACATAATCTGTTTTGCACTCTTGATTCAAAAAGTCAATAGGGTCCAAGGCTTATTTTTTACCCTGTTGCCGTGGCGACGACAAACGCTCCAGATTCATTGCAAATGTACACCTCACACAAACATCAAACCAGCCTCGGCCGTTTCACCTATTCGCCTCAAAATCGCTCCACATCATCT